CCAGACCAGTGGTCATTCCAGATGTTGAGGGAGTATCAGAGAAACTGAGACGTTTATTTTCTAAACATAACGTCCCAGTGGCTTTTAAACCCCAAAATACATTAAAGACTGGTTCATCCCAAAGATCCAGTCCCCCGGCACAAACAGAGTAATGTTGTGTATGTTGTTCAGTGTCAGGAGGGTGATCAGTCTTACATCGGGGAAACTAAACAGCCACTGGCCAAAAGGATGGACCAGCACAGAAGATCAACATCATCAGGCCAGGACTCTGCGGTCTACACTCATCTCCAGGCCAGCGGTCACTCTTTCAAGGATGAAGATGTTCACATCCTGGACAGAGAGGAACGATGGTTTGAGAGAGGAGTAAAGGAGGCCATCTTTGTGAAAAGAAACCGTCCATCATTAAACAGGGGTGGAGCCTCCAGGTTCAACTGTCCCCCTCTTACAATGCTGTGATTGCTAGTATCACTCAGCCCTCTGTGAACAGTAAACAGCCATCAGGTGCTAATGATCCATTGTTAGGCTGATGGTCCTTCTTGAACATGTGATCAGCTGGTTCTGGTTGTCAGCAGCAAAACTGGTTGATCCACTCTGAGAAGGTGCTATTTAAGAGACTGAGCTGAATACAGCACCTCAGACTGAGGAAGTCTCGGATGAGAGACGAAACGTTTCTACAGTTTTTTGCTATGTTTTGGTTTTTGTTTTTTTTTGAATGTCCAGAGGACCAGATTGAACTTTTTTGGATTTTTCTACCTGGATTATTGAGCATGCATCAGGAAATATTATATAATATTTTATAATATAAATTCGGTTCCTCATCATCTCTTTGTTGGACTCAAACTGTTGGAGGTGGAGTAATGTGTTTTTTTTAACCATCTTGTCTTGCAGGCGTCTTCTCCTGTGGTCTGCAGGGAGTCTCTGCACCTTGTGGACATCCGGCGGTACAGCAGAGACCAGGCGTCCCCCGTCTTCTTCCCCCAGACTGTCTTCAGTGGTGAGACCCAGCAGCTCCGACAGAACCATCAGAAGAAACATTTAAAATGAACCCACAGTCTGGACCTGTGTTCTGATGTGTCCTCTGTCCTCACGCCATGTCTCCAGGGGACGACTTGTACGACGTCACGCTAACAGACGGACACTGTCGCCTTCAGGTGACTCTGGACCCGGGTCTGAACCGGCTGGTGGAGAGGCGTGTCCTGAAGCCAGGGTCGGCCATTAGTAACGTCACTTTTAGCCCCGCCCTGAGCGCTCAGCTCCCAGAATGCCCCGGGGCCTCTGCAGATAGAGACAGGTGAGTGCGGACAGTTGAGCAGCAGAGCTGTGATGTCATCAGACAGGCTGAATGTGGCTCCTCCCCCTGCAGCTTCAGGCTGGTGAGTGTTCAGGTCAGAGAGGAAGATCCTGGTGATGAGGAGGAGGACGAAGAGGTCAGGTCAGACTGGGACTCTCTGCCCTGGTTCGGATCATCAGAACCAACAGGTGACATTACACCTGCAGCACCTGCAGAATCCTCAGAGGTGTGTGAGACTGAGTGTGGTCTGACTGGTCCAGCAGGTCCTCTGGTTCCCCTCAGAGCCAACCGCAGCGTGTTTCTTCCTCTGTGGAACAACGTGGACCACAGCGGGGAGGTGTGGAGGGAAGCTCCGCCCACAGAGGAAGGAAAGGACGATGAAGATGATGAGGAGGATGAAGGTAGACTGTTAGGTTTGACTGTAAATGTTTAATTCCTCGCTCCTCCTGCAGCCAATCACAGCACGGCTCCTACAGGAAGTAGTGAAGCGGTCACATGACTGTGTGCGTCTCCAGGGCGACGTCCTGCGGTGACGGTGTCTGAGCTGCGGGACTCCTTCCTGTCGGGTCGGCGTGGCGCCATCCAGCATCAGCTGATCGTGCGCATCATCAACAAGTCTCACCTGATGTATTATGGGAGGACAGACAGGAACTGTGAATGTCCATATAAGGTCAGTGGCTGAGACAGGTGTCACTTACAGGTGTCTTTAAAACTGACACTGATTAAACCGTCACATTTCAGAGAACAGGATGAGAATGTTTGGGTTCAGTCCAACATGGCGGGTTCAGTCCAACATGGTGGGTTCAG